CATCGCATAAGAGCGAATTTGCACGCACAGAACCTGCATAAAGCGAGGGAAACCTGTATAGACACAAAAAATGGTAAAGTACTGAGAAAAGGACAAAATGGCAAGGAGACTTGGCAATGTTAGGTGTAGCATCTCTTAAACAGATACTATAGGCTTGGTAAGCGATGGATGTGAGGTTCTCCAGCCTTAGAATATCCTGATATCGGAAGCACCGTGAATGAGTGTAATTTCATTAGCGTGAGATGGGCCTCTTTTTTGGACATAAAGAACACCAGAAGGAAGAAGAAAAGGAATTCCCCAAACTGCTGATGTTGCAATGATGGCTCAGTGGGCATCAGTGGGATAAGAACATAGGCATTGTCAGTAGTCTATGAATTAGTAATCAGAAAGCACAGCAAGAGAGGTCCAGTTTCTCTGGCCTCATCATCCCAGCTTGTAGTGCTATGGGTATGGGCAATACCACTTATGAACAGTGGCATTCACTAACTGTTCTTGTCTAGACCAGGAAAGCTGGTCATATTGAAAAATATCATTTACCACAGTGAGAAGCTAGCACTTTTGAAAGGCCATTGAAACATGGTGGTTGGTTTTTTTTACCTAGGGTAGCTTATTGAAAATAGTCTCATATGCGTTCAAAAATTATCTTTTTTTTCTAGTCCATACAATGGTTCATTGAATCATGCAGTGAACTTGACAAGTTGACAGTTAAATAAATTAACGTATTTTTAAAAACTGATCAAAGCTGGCTGAAACTTTTCATGTAAATATTTGGAAAAACTTACTTTTTTTGCATAAAAGTTCCTGTATTTCATTAGTTTTTATGACAACTGATATCCTATTAAATCAGCAGTCAGCAAATTTTTACTTGAAACAGAGGTCGTGTAACATTTACCTCTAGTGGCAGGTTTGAGCAGTGCACATTAGAGGGGGAATTAACCCCAAACGTGTGACTTGTCACTAGCATTAGTTAATATTAACACAGACTAACATTCTTTAGAATTAGCACTTACTAACTCTAATGTGTGATCTCTATCGATCCCAATAAATACTCAGATCTCCGCACTCCCAATACATGCCTATAGATTAGTGGGAACTTGTTTAGATTCCTTGGGATTATTTACAGTTGTTTCAGATTGGTTCACATTGCTTTGGGCTTGCTTGGGATGATTTGGATTGTACTTCATTTTGACTTGTGCTGCTTTGTACTCTGCGTTCTTTGAATTGGTTTGGACAAATTTGCATTGGTACTTGGATTGTTTTGCATTGCCTGGGATTGGTTTGTACTGGCTGGCCTTACTTGGGGTTGTTTCACATTGGTTGAGACTACACCACCTTAGTTTGGATTGCCTCACATAGCTTTGCAAGTCAAGGAGATGGAATTATTGCCATTTTACTATAAAGCTTCCTCTAATTTGCTTCACACTCAAGCAAAGCAAGCAGTGAAGCCCGTCACCTTGTACTTTCCCACTTGACAAAAATTAAATAGGGGGGGTTTCCTCCTCCTTTTCTTATTGCCTACATTTCCCATTTGGAACTATAGATATGTACATTATTGTGCATGGGGTTTTCAGTGCTGGACCACTGATTTTTTAAAAGTGACAATGATTTTTAAAGGGTTAGTTTTGATTTAGAAATAGTACAGATGCCTTATTTACCTTGAATATTCATTATGGCAGTGAACACTGCTGCAAGCTTGTTTTCCAGCATATTTGCAACCATTCCAATACATGCACTTACATGTGAGCATGCTCTCTCTCTCTCTCTCTCTCTCTCTCTCACACACACACACACACACACATTTTGACTGACATATGCTTTCGTTTTCTCTTGGCTGTTTTTTTGGAGGGCAGTTAGCAACCCACAGGGGCCCTGGGAACTCTGGAGGAGAATGGGTGAGTCGGGTACTGGCTGCTCCTTGTCCCCAAGCCTGGTTCATTAAACACTTGGCTGCTGTGCTGGCAGGAGGGCCCACTTGAAGGGTCCCAGGACAGAGGGCCCTTGCTGGGGTTGGGCTTAGTCCTGCAAAGAAGTGTAGGTCCTGGCCAGGATGAGGTTCTGTCACCAAACAGGGCTCGGGGTAGCTCATCCCAGGATGTGAACAAGGTTCTGCCCTCTAGCTTGGCCCAAAGGAGCTGCTCCCAGCAAGAGAATAAGGTCTTGTCTTCAACAAAGGGTCCAATAATCTCCTAATTAGACCCAAGAGGGAGTAGCAGGTGTTCAGGGGCTAATCCATCCTAGAGCTGGAACTGGGTTCTGCCCTGCACTGGGCCTCAGATGAGCTCCTCCCGGAGGGAGAAGGAGGTCCTGCTTTCAACCAGGGGTCCAGTTAGGTCCTAATCAGACTTGGGAGGGAGCAGCAGGTGTTCAGGGTCCAGTGAGCTCACCCCGGAGCTGGAAGGAGGCTCTGAAGTTAAATAGGTGCCAGGCAGCAGCTGTAGCGATGGAGGGCTCTGTCCCAGCCTGGCAAGGAGAAGTGACCCAGAGTTTTTGACCCTTAGAATATCCTGATATCGGAAGCACTGTGAATGAGTGTAATTTCATTAGCATGAGATGGTCCTGGTTTTTGGACATAAATAACACCAGAAGGAAGAAGAAAAGGAATTCCCCAAACTGCTGATGTTTGTCTGTCTAGGAAAGAGTAGGTGGAAAGGGTCGGGCTTGATAGCAGTCTTCAACTGCAGAGGGATGGTCAGAGAGAGGATGGCGATTGATTGTTTCTTGCCCATGGTGAGGAAGCAGGACAAGAGCAACGGGCTTAAATTGCCAGCAGCTTGGCTTTGAGACCGAGCTTCCTCACTGACTCCCGGGGGATGAGATGACCCAGGGAGGCTGTGGAGTATCCCTGCCAGGAGGTTTTGGAGCACAGAGAAAGCAAACACTTGGCTGGACTGGATGAGATGTGACTTTGGGCCCCTGCTGCTGTGCATCTGTGATGCTGTGACTATGCATAGAGCTTGCTATTCCCACAGGACCTAAATGTATGCCACTAGGCGCACACACCCTGCCAGGGCCTGCACAGGCCATGGCTGTTGCTTCTGTCCTGCAGAGCAGCCAGTATCACCTCATCGGTGTGCAGGGCAGGCCAGGCACAGGGCAACTTCTAGCCACTCAGGCTGCTGCCCTGCTGCACTCAGAGGCTGTGATGGGGCAACTGGAGGTTTTTGGTGCATGGTTGTCATGGCTAGCCAATCTCGGGGGTTGTGGAAAAGCACCAGCTCAGCAGCTGTGCACCAGCAGCCAGTGCCAGGCTGCCCCTGAGAAAGGCCCAAGGCATCGTATTGCACTGCAACAGGGAGACTAGCTTGGACACACAGCTTCTCTTCCTGCCCCTTAGTCCCTTGCTGTGCCCCTAATACAGAAGGAAACCTGGTGAGGGCAGGGCCCACTGCGCACCTCCTGGCCTGGTGGTTCTGCTGCAGCCCTTTCTACCCAGCTCTGCTCACTCCTGCTCCACGGGGCTGCTGTCTACCACAGTAGCCCCCTTTGTTGCCCCCAGCTGGCCTCCGGAGCTGGAGGCCTGCATATTTATTGTGCTAGTCGGCTGTGGCTTTTAGTTGCAAGAGCTGCCTCATTTCACCAACTGGCAGAAAAGAAGGGAACTGAAGCCACACTCCTCAACAGCCCACCATTTCTCATTGACACAAGACAACTAGAGGCACCAGCCCCCAGCAGAGTCAGAGCCACCAGGTGTAGCTCTGTGGATCTACATTGCAGCCCGTGGGCCACTAGGTGAGTGGTGGAGCCAGCCCACACTGGGACTCCCTTGTAGTGGGTCTACTGTGCTGTCCAGCTGGCAAAGTGAAGGGGGCAGGAAAAGATAGGCACCTACAGCTGGCTGGTGGAGCATGGTGGTGGAGTTATACCTTAGAGTGGCAAGGCTATGGGTTCAAGTCCCCAGATGGCCAGTAGCAGCAGCCTTTTACAGCCCTGGTGCAGGTGCCTCATGCCTCTTTCCTTGCAGGAAGGCCCAGCAAGGAGGGTCAAGAAGACCAGCAGAGGGTGAGACTGTCAGGTCTGGCAATAGCTTGGTGCAAGGAAATGCTGTATGTTTCAAGCAACAAGTCCTGAGTGCTACTGCACATTCCCTGTGATTGCTAGCAAATACCAAATGGGATTCCCAACCATCCCTCCTGAACAAGGGTGGTTGATGGGTATTTCATGGGAATACTCATAAATGTCTTTAGTGTCAATAGGTACCAAAGTACTCCTAGCTTACCTGCATAAATGCTCACCCATGCCTATGAATACAGATAGTTCTTTGTTATTTCTGAGGAATACTGAAAAACGTCTGGGAACAGAAGAAAAATCCCATGAATTCTTATGAGCCTGCCATAGTACATACTTTTGGCTCCTGGGTATTCTCAATAAATTCCTATGTGTTACTGACCAGTGTCTCTTAATTTTGACGGTTTTATGGTTTCACAACCCATTCCTTACCGTTCTGTTTTGATGAGTGCATGTAGTTAATTGCCGATTGTGTAGGCTGTCTAACTTCTGCCTGTCAGAAGTCACAGGTAACATCAGATAATGGAGAATTCCCATACAGAAGGGCACTTACCTCTCTAACCAGAAGCAAAAAAACATATAAACCTCACATCCTCACAGTAACTGGTTCTTTTAAATCCATGCCCTTGTATTATTCCTATTAATGTCTGTGAGGTCGGACTTTTCCACCCAACTTCTGTGCCTACTGCCTGACCAAGGCCAATGGACAGGCAGTGGCTCTCATCTGTTTCTAAGGAATACAGACTATTCCTGTGAACCATGGCCTCTGAATGCTGAACATGTTAATTGCCAACTATTTACAGATTATACCTGCCACTCCTTAAATGTGGGCAAGCCTTCAGTGTTTCACAGTTCAGGATCTGGGGAAGCTTTGCTTTCAAAGGCAGTTAGTTGGCTGTCAGTCAAAAGAATTCTCCTGTTTAGTGCATTTGTTTTCCCATACTTTCCAAAGATCAGCATCTAAGTTCATCAAAAAAGACACTTGATAAAAGGACCAAATTTAACATTTTATTTAATTGCAGAAGGAATCCACCATAGGCCTCATTATGTTATGGATCTTTAAGTATAAAAATAAGCAAAGAAAATAACTTGCATCTTTCTTATTATTATGATATGTTTCAAATAACCTTTTATATGAACACACTGAGCTTTAAAAATGTAATTTAACAATAAATAATGACATATACCAGATATGCTTACTGTTTATTCCAGTACTCAGCAAAAAATATCTAAGTATTTTTAAATTATAAATACATAATGCAAATTTTAAATGGCACAAAAATGTCTAAAGTGCAAACAAATCACAATGAGAATCATGCAAACATTTCTAGATAAGCACCCCCTTCCCCGAAAAAAATATTTTGCAGTGAACACAAGATAAAAAAAGCATTAGAGATTAGATGTGACATAGCCAGAGTTTATACTGAAAAATCATTTATCCCCCATTCAGATCTTATGGATGTATCCCAGTGATTGTTGCAAGTTTACCATAGGTAAGGAAGTGTGACATTAAATTTAAACTTTAGTTTCTGCCTAAAGCCCCCCATCCCAAAGGAAAATATTGAATCCCCCCCCACACACCCCACGTTAACTGCATATTATTTTGGGGGTTCTTGCTGAAAGCTGATTTTGATAGCTCAAAGTTTTCATTTAAGAATCAAAATCTTGCAGGTTTTAGGTAGCCTAAAGAAAAGAGTGGTGGGCTATGGGTTGGGGGGGAAGAATTTCCTTCCACTCTTTGGGTTTTCATATAAATGGATCTGGTAGGGGTGTGGGGGGAAGTCTGTCGAAAAGTCATTTTCTAGACATGTATTTTAATTGAACTGTTTCTACCAAACTCTATAAGGCAAGATGTATTTGTGGAAAAAAAAAAAAGCTACTATGCACTGTATATAAAGGGTCTGCAGCACCGGTGCAACTATACCAGTTGCTTTTAGTAAGGGCAGGCAAATCCCCAGAGTAGCCAAGCCTTTCTATAACTGTGTGTTCTTGCTAACGAGTTTTTTTAATCAAAATGCCTGTAAGTACTTGATACACAAAATCCAGTAGACTTCCTGTCCTCAAGTCCCTTTTTCAATCCAAGTGTCTTGGTGCTTGATGCTGCAGAGTGTAGAGTTGCTCTCAAGTTGGAGCTGGGACTAAATGCCTTAGCAGGATAAAGACCAAAATGTTGATGATACAGCTTGTAAGTCAGAGCTTGTAAGTTGGAACCCAGCATACCAGACAGCATTTTAAGAATTAGTTAGCATTGCATCTAGTTTGCACTGGATTGTATCATCCAGAATACGAAAAATAAAACAAAACCAAACAAAAATACACACCACTGTCAGCAACATTTTTTGCTGCTTACAGTTTAATGACAGCACTTTTGGGCTATGTTTAATGAAGACAGCAATATTGGACATGCTCCCACTGCATCTGGTTTCAATATTTTAGCAGCAAGTTATTGTTTAAAGGCTTTGTGGTAACATAAGTTTATATTGCTTTATATTTTTGCAAAAAAAAGATGCATCTCCTTTTAGCCTTATACAAAAATCTTTTCCCTCAGCTATTTAGGGAGCTAACAAAGTCAGCCACCCACAGAAGTAGAGTCTAACTGGGTAGATTTGGAATGAGAGTAAGTGTGGAACTGGCCCTGTCGACATGCCAAAATGTTGCTGTTTTTGGCTTGCAAAAGCTGAGCCAGACTACTGTTCAGAAAATCTTCTCATTTGGTAGAGGCCTTCAGATATTACTGCGAGGAATCAGCTTTTCAGTCTCAGTTGCGATCCTCCTTTTCAATGGCTTCTACAAGAGATGCATGTTGAGAAATGCAGCCCTGGAGATGGTGTGTTTTAATCAGCATGGAACTTGTTTTATGTGACTTTAAAACAAGCACAATGCTATGCATTACATTTGGCTTGCCCAGCTCCTGTGAGCCACGCCACGCACAGCCTTGCTTCCCCTGCCATTTCCCAGAAATAAACCTTCTGAAGAAGTTTTCGCCTCAGTGGCAGCCTTGATAGCTAAAGCAGTTGTCAGCCATTTGACAATTCCCAAAATAGCTTTTTTAGCAATACTCAAGCCTTCGCTATTATAATCTAAGTACCATGGCAACCCCATGGAGCTACACTATGGGCAGTCATAACCCAATTTACCTGTGGGATCTGAAGGGTTAACAGCTCTTTTTTTTTTTTTTCATCTGGTCCAGTCCTAATGGATTGTGGAACAACTTCTATCCCTTTCATTATAAAAAGGCCACAAAGGAGAATGTGTAATTTTGAACATGATAGAGATACTGTTACCAGGAAAAAAAATAAAGCTAAGTTACAAAACTAAATTTATATGCAATAAAATTATTTTATGCTGCTTCTTTTCAGCACACTCATTCTGGAATTTAGGTACAGTACATGACAGATTTTAAAAACTATTTATACCACAGTTAGAGCAAGACCTTCAATACTCTAGCCTGAAGACAGATTTCTGTTGTTGTTAAGTTCTTTTAAAGCTGTGTATAGATACAGTACATAAAGATGTTAGGTTTGTAATAAAATGCAAGACTGTCTGACTTTAAAACCTGCTTTCACCATGGCCTTGCACCTCACATAGTCATTTACACCGTGCAAAATTATTCTAATCTTATTTGGTGTAGTATTTTTATTTTTTGTTTTTAATCACTTGTTTGCACTGAGGTCCAGGGCAATAGTAAACAGAGTCCTCCGTTTAATGAGCTAAAACTGATTTTGGTAGATGAACTGGGTAAGGGAGTTATGTTGGAGGATTAAGACTGTATGCCACTAAGAGACCAAGAATCCAAACATGACATTCATATTCGTCCATGGCCAGCACAGATTCATAACACGAATTCCACTGACATCTTTAGGATGAGAGATAGTTTTAGCGTATCTGTCGTTACCTTCCAGCTTAATACTATTAATGAGATTACATGACTTTAGCCGGTTCCAAATTTTCAGACTGGAATGGTGTTTGGACTACAGTGTTTGAATGCTGCAAGATTACATTTTAAAAGCTGAGGTTTGTTTCAGAATTGGTTTTGTGACAAAGAGAAGAGGTGGAGACAACTTAGTTGCAGGAGGTTGGGACACTGAATACAGAAGCCTAATTCCATGCAAATTGGTTTGAGAGGGATAGAAAATATGAACTACTTCATCTAAAACCAGTTTCTAATTGTTATTAAAACCAGGTACAGTACACTTGGTTGGGTGCATTAACTCTTCTGTTAAGAGAGAGAGAGGCTTCTCCTTTGGTAGCGCTTAGATCCCCTACACACCCACCCTCCTCTCCTCCCCTACAGAATTACGCACTTTCGGAAGAGGTACGTTTCACGTGGGCTGGAATAGACCCCTCACCGCGGAGGTTCCTGAAATAAATTTTTAGCTTTTGAGGCTCAGTGATACGTCTCCTACTGAAGTCTGCTCTAGGGTGCGTTTGTGCGCAGTGATCTGTCTGCAGAAGGTGGAAGAGGCTGGCCATGTTGGGTCCTATCTTCTCCATTAAGCTGTCTTTGATGGTGTTAACGGTTTCTTCATCACATTCCAGTAAGCTTCTCACTAGCTTGTTGTAATACCTGAATTAAGGACAGGAGACAGTTGCTGTACATTATTACATTCCACCATCAGGAAGGTCATCACACACGGAAAAAAACCCCAAACTGATCCAAAGCTAGAGGGAACAAGATCACCATGAAAGACTACCTGCCGTGGTTAAAACAGCAGGACCAGAGCAATCAGAACTTGACAAGGCATTCGCTGTTCAGACCTGTGCAAGAGCACGAGATTTACATTAGCATGTTGTTATCTAAACTTCTGTATCCCAGGGACTGTGCATCCTTTATGCAGTTGTATCTTTGATTCACAAAACAACAAACGCGTTTCTAAGGCTAGTTAACTAGAATTTAGCCCTAGAGTGGCTCTCAAGCCTGTGACTGGTAAACATGCCATTTTGGGTTCTTGTTACTGTTCAGATTAATACATGAACTCTCCAATTTTTATTTTTAGAACTGTATGGTGGACCACAAGTAGTAAGAGTTGGGTAGCTTTTTTTTTTTTTTTATCAGCCAGAGTTGAGAAAGTGTTCTAGCCTTCAGGAAAAAAAACCATTCCTGTGGAGACAGCTTCTTCCTAATTGCCTGCATAGGATTTTCTTGCATTTTCTGCTAGAGAGTACTGTCCTTGCCTCTTGGACTATAAGGAATCTTAATCCATATGTTCGAAGAGTTTTCTGCAGAGACTTGCCAGCATCCTCCATTCTTTAGAAAGGGGTTGAAGAAGGAGAAAGCCGGCTCAGCCTGTATCTAAAAACCTGACCAATGTGGGTGTTCAAATGGGGATGATTTTTAAGACCTATAACCAGTAGTCACAATAAACAAGTTGATAGTGCATTACAATTAAATTTTAAGTTGAGATCTTGAGTTTTCCTATTTGAGCCTGCTGTCTCTGCTTGCTGCTGCAGAATTTTGATGTTGCATTAGATCTTAAATATGCTAGGAGAGCACGAGAAAATTGTGCGGATCTGTTTCCCCATCTCTGCTGGACTCAAGTGAAAAGAGGGAACGGTGCTCAAAAGAATTCTCTGCCATGGGGCTTGTGTACACATGCATGCATTCAGGCAAACAGAGCCAACTTGAACAAACTGACCTAGGCATGACAGGTAGAAAGGGAAAGGGCGGGAGAAGAAATAGTTCTTGGAGTCATGGGGACCACTTTCTAAGAGGATGACAGGAGACATTTCACCATCTGGGCATGGAAAAAGACAGAGCTCATGAGAGTCGTGAGCAGGGGTCTGCCCTTCTCATGGCAATCTGCTCTGTCTCAACCCTTTCCAGTTAGGGCATGCTGAAATTCTCCTGCAGTTATACCAGGGAGCCAAGGGGCTAGGGGCTGAAATCAGTGGATCTGTTACAGAGTCTTAGATGACACCTTAACAGTGGGTTAGAAGTATTTCTCATCCTTTTTACTTAAAATTACTTCTTCTATCTAACTCTTTGCAAATAACTTTAATATTAAATAATTTAGTGACTTGCTGTACTTGGAAAATGGAATAAAAACCTACTATAGTTGTTAATCCATTATAAAACTGTTATAATTCAAATTGAGTCCACTTTAGTCAGTGTTGCTGAAGATCTCTATTACCTGAGAATTTAACAGTTGGGAACTGCCTTCCAATCCCTTTACTGCATGGATTATTTTTGCAAGCTCACTTCAGTCATGCTGACTGACTTCTGCCTTCTGCCGTAAGAATTTGCCTACACTCCATATCCCCTACCAGTGAGTTTTCAAATGAAGATTGTTATTTGCTCCGAGAGTTATGCAATCAGTTCGAGTGTGACTGCAGGCAGAAAGGCTTTCCTTCTTCATTGCACTGTGGCAAGATTATATCACAGGAAGGTGCTATGACCCTATAACTACTTCCTCTTTGCCGCCTGTGCCAAGTGGCAAATTCTTATTTTGGGACTATGTTGGGATATGGGCTGGGAAAGCAGGATGCCTTAGGAGAACATATTGTAAACTATTAACTGGGAAATCCTGCTGCTTTTGTTCCTCAACATGTCACAATATCCTCTGGCTTTAACCACTCACCAGAGGCTGTGTGTGGAATAGTTCCCTCTACTGGATTTTCTCTCAAAATTTGCATCATCAGATGCAGCTTATTTCTTCACTGCTTTGTACCCCCTTGTCACTTAAATATGTGCATTTCATGTGTCATCTAATGCTCAACAAAATCACTAAGTGACTGTACATGGTAGAAAACAATCGAAAATTAAGCCATCACATCTTCACTACAGCAGGTGGGGGGGTGGAGGGGGGTGGGAAAGAGAGAGAGAGCACATGTACAAACAAGAGGTTATAAAATTAAGAGCTTGAAACTATACATTTTAGTGTGGATGCAGTCATCCTAGAAGACAAAGGGGAATAAAATAGATATAAGGCACCACTGTACACTGCTACTTGTTTCTTTTTATGGCTTTGCCATTACAATTCACTGTAAAAAGCCCATATCCCTAATTCAACTTGTTACACTCTGAGATAGACCCATGTATCAGACAGTTCTAATAGGAGCGGCGAGAGAGTGACACAGCGCCACCAATTCTTCATTGGCACTTGCTAGTTACAATTTTGCAAAGGCTAGTTTGGATGCATCTCAGATGTTCATGGTTTACTCAATGCTTGTGCCCAGACATCTGTAGCCTGGAACAAGCTTTTGATCCATGACAGCTGTTATTTTAAGTTAACTAGCACTCAGCTGGAGTGAAAAAGGGTCAGTGAAGGCAGGTATAAAAATATTTCCTAACTAATATAAGTTGTCAAAGTTTGCCACCTGAAAACTTATTCTTAAATTGTTCTAAGCTGGAAAAATGCTTTTTACTTAATCGGCTGCCATCTCTCCTCAAAGGCCACTCTATGGTTCACCACAACTGCTGCTTTAACAGTAATATCTGTTGAGGTGAACCACAAACCTATCTGTGAGGAAAGATGACAGCTAGGTTAAATCAAAGCCCACGTCAACCCTGCAGATGATTATCAGCACAGCTCTGTTGCCAGTCAGGGATATGAAGAGGTCAGGCCACAGCTGGAGTACTGTGTCCAGTTCTGGTCACCCCACTTCAAGAGGGATGTGGACAACATTGAGAGGGTCCAGAGGAGGGCCATCCGCATGATCTGGGGACAGCAGGGCAGACCCTACAATGAGAGGTTACGGGACCTGAACCTGTTCAGCCTTCACAAGAGAAGGCTGAGGGGGGACCTTGTGACCGTCTATAAACTCACTAGGGGGGACCAGAAGGGTTTAGGGGATACCTTGTTTCCCCCAGCGCCCCCCGGGATAACAAGGAATAACAGCCACAAGTTGTTGGAGAGTAGGCTCAGATTAGACATCCGTAGGAACTACTTCACAGTCAGGGCGGCTAGGATCTGGAACCAACTTCCAAGGGAAGTGGTGCTGGCTCCTACCCTGGGGGTCTTTAAGAAGCGGCTCAATGCCTACATGGCTGGGGTCCCTTGAGCCCAGTTTCCCTCCAGCCCAGGCAGGGGGTTGGACTTGAAGATCTACAAGGTCCCTTCCGACCTGACTTCTATGATTCTATGATAACCCCAAACTAACATGAAGCCCCTTGCATAACTGCAACTACAGTTGTGTAGCAAACTGATGCTTCTTCTGCATTTGTTCTAGCTGCATCAAAATCCTAAGACACCTGAGTTAATACAGTTTATAAAGATATATTTGCTCCTGCCCTACCCGAGCTCCAAGTGCCAGTCATTCCAGGAGTTACACAGAGGGAATTCTGTATTCCTTAGCAAGGCTTAGGCAGATTTTCTAGACAGTTATGGAACATGGTCTCATAGGCAAGGTGATTTATGTATTCAGATATGAGTATTTGAATATGCCTCCTCCTGTAGATGAATGCAGTGTTCTACTTTACTGATGAATAATACAGTTTTCTCAGTTACTTATAGAAGAGTAGCTCCTCAAAGCCCATCCTGGCGCAGGGCTTCACAGGACTTTTTGCACTGTGCAACCACAACAAAGAGAGATAGTTTCTGTCCTACAAAGTTTGTAATTCAAGGGAAGAATGGATTTGTAATAGTTAGCAAGAGCTTCCATCCCAAATTATTTAGCACAGGGGCACTGTCCTAGCCAAAAACATACATGCATAAAAAAATTCTTATTTTCCACGGTTTGAAGCAACATCTATGCTGATTAGAACTTGGTCAACCAAAAGGACTGTTCTCTTTAAATATATATGGGACTCCCATCACTGTGCAACTAGTTAATTTCTCTGATTACTTCCAGAGGGGAATACCTTTCAATTTAGCAGGGGAAGTAAGAATTCTGATGTCAAATATCGTAGCAGAACCTTAAACAACATCAAATCTAGGATGTACTACTTCAGCTGAGCTGTATGAGGAACTGTTTCGAATAACGACCCAGGTTGACATCATCATTTTAAAGTCTGCTACATTTTGATGTGCTCTGTACATGTCCTGTATGGAAAAATCCACATACCTGTTTGAAAAGTGATTTGGAAGCTGGACAACTTCGGTGATGGCTTCAGGATTGCGCTTTGCAATGCTGCACATGTCCAGTTTGCTGTAGCATTCCTCCTGCACCTCAGAGATCATTCTTTGGAAGGTGGAGCACCGCCGAATAGCAAGGAAAACCTTGGATGTGACTCCATTTGCAATGCATTTCAAGCTTTCTTTCACAAAAGCCTTTCCCTGCAAATTTAGAAGCATCATTTTAAATATGCAGAACTGCAGAGGTCCATAAATGTGTAGCCTGAGAGTCCGCTGTTGTCGACTACTACTAGTTATCTTTGCTGCAATTAGAAAGTGGTTCTGTGTTAAATACTGACTTGCCAGCAGAGAAAGCTTTATGCTTGAGGTATTTTGTTCATCAGTACTAAATACTTACAGTAATGAATATGCCACATTTGCTAGGCATTATACAGAACACTTCGTCCTCAGTCTCCCTCCCAAAGATTTCCCCTATCTGGGAAATAGGATTTGTTTTCACATAAAATGCCAATGTATTACACAGCAAAATTGTAGACATGTGGGCCAGTCCTGCAAGGTGCGGAGTTCCCCAAGTTTCCACTTATTCTTTGTGGGGTTTGAAGACACTCGCTGCACCCAGAACCCATCCTGAAAAGGCAGTGCATTTCACTGGAAGAACTTAAAGCACCAGAAACCATTAAGTCTGTCCCTGGAAAATGGCAAATTATACACATTGTGTAGAATAAATACAGAAGATAAAGGTCCTTGGCACAACCAGGATTCCTTTATGTCATTGTTTTAGATATTCCACGCAATGAGAGAAAAAGAGCGTTAGAGCAAGTGAGAGGAGAGAGAGCGAGAAAGTGTCCCTGCAGTTCCACTGAGTCAGGCTGATCTGGCTTTGCATTCCCAGGGTTGAAATCTTCCAGTTCAAATTATACATCTGTGCCAGGTCACACAGTCAGAAAACGTACTTTGTTAGAAGAACGTTTCCTCCTGAAGAGGAAACTCAGCTCCCCGCCCCACAAGACATCCTCTGCCAAGTCTTCACACATAGCACACAGTATGTGGAAAGTGTACTGTAGAAAGTCTTCCTGAAGAATGGATTTGTTTTTTTGGCCACAAAATCCTCATTCCCACAAGAGCATCTAAGTAGCAGTAAGAACCACACGGAAGTAGGTTCCCATGGCAGGATGAGGCCAAAGAAATTAAGGCCTCATGTTAACAAAGTAGTGAAGCACGAGCTTAAATGCCGTTGTGGAATCATGGCATAAATGTATTCTGAACAAATAGGAAGCTATATAGGAGAGTACTTATTCCTATAACGTACCTGAGTGTCAAATTTAGCAGCACTATAGAGGAAGGATTTGCAGATGTCATACATTCCATCGGTGTCACAAGTAGAGTTCTCCAGGCATGCGAATGCACCACAGCCCACCTGAAGGGCACTATTTAAACAGCGAACCACTTCAGCTGGAAGACAGGCAGAGAACTTATTACATTATTACTTTTTACTTATTCCCATAGGCACTTTTCAGCCAAGATGGCAAAGCATTGAACCACTGGATTAATCAAGTCTCACAAGACTGCTGCAAAGATAGTCAACTGATATTTCTGTTTCATAGGACTGGGAAAGGGAGGACACTAGTGGGAGAGAATAGATACCCAAGGCAGAGATAAAATAAGGCATTCACTGGATTCATGAAACCATCCACTGGCAAAAGGTATGGGTAGAACCCAAAAGCTCCTGGTTGCCAGTTGCGTGCTGTAGCCCCATAGAAAATAGAGATATTAAGCATTTTATACTGGGTCATTTCCACATAAATATTTGCCTGGAGGCACGGCTTAATGAACATTTGATTGTTATATTTTATCTGAAAACTGGATAGAAAGAACTCAGCATCAAGTGGGGGAAAAGCCTACTCCTGCTGATGCAGAGAGGAAGGAGAGCTATCAATATAGAAATTATAAAGATCTAGGCCACTACTAAGACATGAGGGCTCAAAATAATGCTTGTTTGAAAGGAGGACATGATGAGCAGACAATTTCCAGATCACATCCAGTACTGGAAAGAAAAACTGAATCCATAATAGACTGTAACACTAAATATAATAGCTATAAAAATGGAAGGCCAAGTTATTCTGAAGAAGATAAGCTTTAAATATTATTAGGAGTATTTATATCATGCTAGGAAGGGAAAAAGTTTAAGAAAAGGTCTTAAGCTTATGCACATTCTTGGCTTTGCTCTGTAGGGCAGATCAAATGTTATAAAAAACCTGACACGAATATGGTGCTCGACTCTTCAGAGCAGTGCCAGAAAATGAACAGAATCTAAGGAAACCTTGATTAGGTAGAATCCATTCTTGATCAAAGTTATACATGGTGGTCTCCATTAGTTTAATTACAATAGCGCAGGTATAAGCTCCTGGGCATATAGCAGGGCACAAACCTTTTTAATATATGCTAGTATGCAATTAAACAATAATCCAGCTTCCCCTGCACAATACTGCTCTAAAGTTAACAGGTAGTAACCTTTTCTGGTAAGCTGAACGTCTGTCCCATTGTGTTCATTCAGAGCCTATCCATTACTTTTTGCCAGATCATGTTACAGGCTGCCTTTAGGAAGAAACCTTGAGTCTCAAAGTAAGATATTAGATGTGGGAGTCTAACTACACCAAGTGGTAGAGAGCAAAAAAGCCTTACTAAAAATTAGGAATGTGTCTAAGGAAGTTAGTTATTTTTTTCTAAAGACACCAGTTGTAAGATGGGTAGCTACTGTGCTCTGATATTTCTTATATATGTCTGAGGAAAGCAATATTTGATAAGGTCGTCCTCTCTCTCACTTAAAGCTTTGCCATCGCAAGTTATTTTCATAATTATGTTTCCACAGGTTCAGATTATAACTTTGCTTTCAGCAGGTTTAATATGCATTAGGCTTTTATTGTTTTAGGCACAGTGGAATAGTGAGACACTATGTTTCTATAGCAACCAAATACAAAAAGGAAATTGAGCAAACACCCTAGTATAATGCTGCAGAGCCCTGCAGATCTAAAATAAGACATCTGTTAATGAGCTCTGAATTAGAGACCTCCTAATATCTTTTCAATATACAGGAAGACCAATTTTCATTTTTCCATTGTTCAAGATAAAGCACTGTAGATGTCTAGATCAGCTGAGCACATGAAGTAGAGGTATTCAATAAGAACTTGTTAGTTATTTTTATCTGTTGTATAGGCTACTTAGCTAAATGTCATGATCATATTTATATGTTACTATCCCAGGCAATTTCTATGCGCAGTGGAGACCACACGTTAACAATGGACACGTTTTTAGGATTGCTGCATTCTCTGAACTGGTATTAGAAAAAGATTCCTGTCTCTCCCTTTTTGAACATAGATATTTAGAGGAGCAATGGTTCAGTGAATAAAATCAGCGGAGAGTGAACTTAAACCCCCACCCAATTTGTTAATTCCCTATGATGGGGGGGAAGAGAGCGAGAGACGCATTCAACCAGCATGAGAAAAGTATATTGAACTCGGAGCGGGGGGGAGGCGGAGGGTGGAGGAAGGGCGAAGGGGAAATAGACCCTGCGGAGTACATCCCAGTTTATAATCCAATTCTGGAATGAGATTGCCTCCCTCTATGTATAATTACATATCCTAAAGAAGCATTTTTCTAGGATTTCTGATTCCACAATAGCTTATTTCTATCAGTCGCGAAGTTCAGAGCAAAAAGATCATCAACAGAATATTTGCAACACTGTTAACACATCAGGGCTCAGACCCAAAGCCCTCTCTGATAAGTGTTACCTGAGTTCTGTGCTGCAACCCTGGTTTTCCTGGGGCTCACAGAGTCATTCTGTTCAGCTTCATAGGATGCAGAAGCACTGATCACCAGCAGCAGGAGAAGAACTGACTTTAGGAGCATTCTCTGACAAGTTTCCGCTAAGTTTTTTTTTCCCCTTGTGCGTGTGTCTCCTGTTCTCTCTCTCCTCGGCTTCAGCAAAGATGCGGATCTGGATGCACACAGAGAAAGGAGTCTGTCAAAGACTATGTAGCTACTGCAGCCTTGTTCTGCTTTACCCCCCTAGCTCTTGCTCACTGGGGGACCAGGAGAAAAGCCCAGGGCTTTTATAGCCGGCCTTATCTGTCCCCCTCCAGGACAAGGAGCCAATCAGAAGGTGGAATAGGCAGCCAATGGGAGCCTGAGCTCATTCAAGCACCAGAGCACTGGAACTTCACAGGAAGAATATTTTCCAGCCAATTAAAAGTACCTGCCAAACAACAATAAAAAAAGTTAATCTTCACAGAAATAAGTTGGGGGGGGGAAAGGTGGGGGGGAAGAAGCTTCCTATGATTAATAGAGCTCAAGGAAATTGCCACCGCAATTGTAAGCCTTACTCAAGATCTCCTGCCTTTTTATTAATAACTTACTCCTCTGTTTAGGCACTAGTGCAGGAAAGAATAGCTAATTTTACCACTTAAATAATATGGTAAAAGATAAAGACAAAAGCATATTCATGTTTTACATACAATCTGTGTTTGGTGTACGTACTACACACAGACATGGAATAAATAGTGTCCATCAGCCACATGCATGCAAATACCACCCCCAAACACGCATGCATCATGCACAAGCATCCACATGTAGTCCAGTCATACATGTTTCCAAAACATATGCTTCTGTCTTGTACAGTCCACTCAATCCGCATACATGTTATGCACATGAACTGTACAGGCAGTATAATAGAGCCCTGACACCAAAAGAGCAGTCAGATATACAGTCCTCATACACACCCATGCATAACCAGGGTGCATGCACGAGGCATGCTTACAGTCTCTCACACACACACATGAAAAAAGAAACAACATCTCTAACTTTATTTGAATAAACTGTATATTCATGCGTAGTGCTTCATAATAGAGATTTTGGAAAAGAGTGGGAACAAGCTAGGGAAAACTTGTTTAAGTTTGCTTTCTTTTTTTCATTTTTAGGCCTGCCAAATCCATGATGCAAGGGGGAAACGTATTCTTGTGGCAATTAAAGGAGCATCAGAAGCCTGATTCAGGTTTGTACCAGAATCCATTTGTACAACTCTGTCAACCTGTGGTCTTAAAAGGAAGCCTATGCATGAACAACAGAAGTGCTAGATCTTGCACACAAGGCTGGAATGAAGCCTGAAAAGGAAAGGAATATAGGTAAAATAATACTTATGTTTCAGTAGAAGTATATTGAACAAGGATATAGGTACATGATCCAGGTACACTGCTTTAATATCTGAATAACTCACACGATGTGCTGTGGGGCAAATATTGTCATCTCTGTTTTATAAAAGAGACAGAACTGAGGCAGAGAGATGAATAAGATTTGCACCTGGGAAAACTGCACTCATTTAACTTCAAACCAGTTTTAAAAGCTGATTTAGTTAACACAATTCACAACTCTGCTTTAAAAGAGAGTGCATCTAAAAATGGCTTCTTGTTCCGGCTTAGCCTACAATCATTAAGGAATCTATTAAAGTAAAACTGAAGCAAGTCTCTCTTAAATGAAACAAGCAGGTTTTGTATCAGGTATTATTTTTTAAAGACCATTTGACAAGTGATATGTCTCTGGTGAGAGTGTGTGTTTCTGGCAAGAGAGGCTAGAATGCAAATCTCCCAAGTCACTTTTCACCATCTTATCCTTGTTCCTTGTCCTAAATACAAGATGAAGGAAGATAGTTTAGTGAAGGAGATGGGCTTGTTGACTGAAAGAAGCTTAAAGCTTAAAAATAGAGCTTCTCTGGGCACAGGACTCTCTATACAGGGGCAGCTGAAACGACAGGGGCCTTGTAGCCCAAACTTATTGTTATTGATATTGGCTTCCGTTGGGATAGAATCAGACCCAGGATTGTACTCCTGCCTTGGGGGGTGAGGGAAGGGGCTAGGACAAACAGCTGTGCCAGATGTTCCAAAAACATTTTAAAACGTTGAAACAGAAAAAGGTTTCATGTTTCATTCCAGTTTTGTGAAATTGAGCCAATTTCATTTTTAAAAAATCCTGCAAAAACACTGTGGTTTCTCCACTTAATAGTACCAGTCCAGTTTTTAAAGTGAAAATGATCCCAGGGGGCTTGATTCTGATTAAATCAAAGGAAATTTTGGCACTGGCTTCAGTGAGAGGTGAATCACCACTATTTAGTTCCTGTTTTATAGGAGTGGAAGCCTTGAATTTCCCCCAAAAATATTCAGTTTCAGAGACCAAATCTGAATTTTCTCCCCAAACACTAAATTTTCGTGCAAAACATTGGGGGGGGGGGGGGGAGAGCCGACAGGATTTTGGAAAATTGGGGGGGGGGGGGGAAGTACTGCAAGTAGTTTGCAAAAACCAAGAACTGGCCTATCCTGCCCCCTCTCCCCTCACCCAGGTTAGCTTGATCAATGTAGACAAGAAAATTATATACTGCACAGAGAGAGGTCTTCAGTTCCTTCAATTCCTTTATTAGTTATTCATTCAGTTACTAGGAGTCTAATCCATTGACTTCAAATGGGTCTTGCAGCAGCCCACAAGTACAGTGCTGTTACTAATCAATACTGATTAGTAACAGCACAAGTCATATTCTAAAATAACCAAATATCGGAGAAAATATTACAGAAGACGATTGTTAGAAAGAGGTTGGATGTAATGATTGGAAGAGATCTGGTAACAGGTCAGTCTTGCTCATCATCACTGGCATTTAATTGATATGATACACCAAGTTAAGAGCTCAGTTCAATGTTTTTAAAATGCTCTAAGCTTCAAAATGAATCTCTTAACTCATTTTCAACTTTGGAAAATGCAAGAAGAGAGATTATGTGATTTGCCTGAGGCTATACAATGAATCGGCTTCAACTTTCAAGGGTTAATCTTGCAGTCTTGGGTAAGAAGTTCTGCACCATGCTGGTCCCTAGTCCCAAAGAGTACATCTCAAATAATGTATGCACTAGCAGTATGCTAGGATAGCAAATGCTAGCAGACGCCCACATATTTTTTTTTCTTTTGTGGCTTATAGTTTGCACTAAAATTTTAAAATAGAACAAAAGACTACAGAAAATGCTAGACTCGCCTCAGACTTATGTAGTCTGTCTGAGAAAGCAAGGACAGGAGGATTTAGGGAAGCTGAAAGAACTCCTGAAATAGAGATTATGGAATATTCTTCCCAATTCCCCTCACTTCTTCTGTTAGCAGGTGCCTTTAAGAGTAAAGGTTTTTTCCACACCCCAGTATCCGTATAGTTCAGTAACAAAATGCTGAACAGGAAAGTGCAAGAGATCTGCTGCAGGCAAGCAGGGGTGGCACTCGGAGGGAGCCTGGGGGGGGGGCCTATAGCCCCCCCCAAATTTGCCTTAGTGCTCCCCGTAGCCACTGCCCCTTTGTAGCACCCTGCCTCCCCCCACCAGGCCACCACTGCCCACCCCACGCAGCTGAGCCCACCCCGTTCCTGCATCCAGAGGCATGGCCACTCCCAGCCTGGCCGAATACGTATATTTGGCCAGAAGGTGTATAGCGCAGCCCCCCAGTTTTCTGTCTAGCCCACCTCAGCCCTGCTGCTGGGAAGAGGCTGGCACTGCCCCTGCAGGCAAGTATAGTGTAATCCACACACAGAAAGAGCCTCGCTGCCCCCTTGATTAGAGGGGTCTGGATTATGCCAGGAAGCATGAAAGTTTATATCCTCCTCCCATACTTTGTCAGCCGGTATATAAATGGAAAAAAATATATCCCTATTCACTTTGCATATATCAGCCCTGCATACCACTTTCATTAACAGTCCCTGTTAACCAGACTAAGACTTGCTACTACTGTCATTTATTTTCTTTCTAAAATGCTAAGATTTTGTCTATGGTCAAGGGAGAGTCAGGGGCAGGGAGCCACACTAAACAAACCACAAGCAACCCCCACTTTTTGCTCAGCTGCTTTCCAGCTGGATGACTGGAAGCTGCTCTCCTTGACTAGCAAAGAGCAGAGGCTCTTTTCCCTTCCATTGTGTAATAAGATCCCTGCCCACCTTTCCCTGCTCCCCACCCCCAACACAAGATCCCTCCATGAGCTCCACAGTGGAGGGACGTGAGCAACTGCATCGCCTCAAGAGTTAGCCACGCTCCGCTGATTTGTTCCTTGCACGTCGTCTTGTTTCAGACAAATGAAGCCTCGTTAAAAGACCTTCAGGAACCGTGACACTTTCATCCACCCCCAGACACCCCACCCTTTCCTTTAACTCTGCTGTGTGACACATTTTGAAAGAGCCATTGCAGCTCATTTAACAAGCTGAGAATGCAAAAGGGATGGTTTTAAAACAGGCACAATTGAACAGCTTTGCATACAAAAGATAGACTTACATTGAAGCAGATTAGGGTCTAGTTCCTGCAACATGCACAGCACTTACACTTCCCTGACATCTAAAGGCAATCGGAAGCTTGTGGGAAAAACTCAGCACCCCACAGAATCAGACCCCAAGAAATCAGTTACTGAATTGACTCCTCAGCTTGCCATTTCAGAATCAGTATAGATATCTGTGCCTCATTATTTGGCATGTGTTACTATGTGCTTTTTAGACCTAGTTCTCCACTCAGAGGGGTGAACACCAAGATTAACTCCACTGAGATCAATGGAGTTACATGCTTCCAGTTGATTCTAGTAAAGAGATGGGTTAATTGGGTCCTTTAATTTATTTAGTTCAATGTGGACGTGAATTATGATAGTTTAATTGGGGAAACTAACATCAGAATTTGGCCTGGGGTATGAATGTGGGTATGACTCACCTCAAGTGGAGCCTGATCCAATAAAGCATGCGTGTGTACGTGCACACACAGAAACGTACAAAGGGAATGAATACAAGAAAAGTGTGTTTAAATACCCTGCTTTAAGTGCCAAAGACAATGCAACTTTACCTGCAGAGCAGTTATGTCATACACATTAGGTATTTGTCCAAGCTACAGTGGTGTTAGACCTATCAAAGGTATTATTCAGGGTGTACTCTTTTTGTGTGGATTTAATTAGTAAAAGTGAAACCATTTGCAGGGAAGCCCGCTTCATGTGTTAGCTTATTTCCACACTATTTGGACATTTTTAAAAGATAATTCTGTGGGGCTCAACTGGTTTCTTATTAATTCCATGCATAATTAAACAGTAATTAATCAAGTAATCTAGTATTACGTGTGACCTTGTGCTCTGATTCCTGACTACCAACTTCACCAGGAAGAAGACCAAATGTATATCATGGACTGAACACTGCCTGACAGCTATCAAGTGCTAATAGTTTCAGCCCTCAGTCCTTGCAATTCTGGACTGATGCAGTCAGTGGGAACACTCATGTGCTGGAGTACTTTGCCATGCCAAGATCAAAACTTCAGCTAGATTTGAGCTGGTAACAATCAACCGAGTTTTGATACCCTTACTCATATTAGACAGTGTCTAGCTCATATGAAGAACCACTAAGGTTAATGAGGAGTGAGGGTGGAAAGGTCTGGCATAGATAAAGAAACTATAACCTGTCAGCAATTCCATTAGCAACCCTTCCCATAGGACAGGAAATGAATAAAATTAATTGTGCTTTTTAAGCAATGAATTAAGATCAAGCACCAACTTTTGCTCAGAAGGGCTTTAGATTTGGAGTAGCTTGGACTACTGTGCAGTTATACTAGCATTTATGGGAGAAAAATGTAACACCAAGAACGCGATGGTAATGTTTCAAACCACAATCTCATTAAGTTTTGAAATATTGAAATGGAGGGAAAGGAACCCAAGCCTTGAAATCTTTTACACATTTCTCACTGGCTCTATACAATTTCTACGGTGAGTTCTGCTTAAGGCTCTTTAAAAATGTAGTCAGCCCCTCAGCTGATTTAATGGGCTTTCATCACAGATTCCCACTCATTTCAATGGGCTTTGGATCTGGCCCTTAATCACCCGCTAACTTTACTAAAGCAGTAGGAGGCCCAGTTTACGGCAGCTAACTCTCTCCTCCTGGGTCAGCAAATTGCACTTACTTGCAGCAGACACTCCATTTCTCCAGGTCTCAGTGGCTGACAATATTAACAAATAATTTTTGTG